TTTTTTTTTTTTTTTTTTTTTTTTTTTTTTTTTTTTTTTTTTTTTNATTATCCATTGGTTAGCTCCACTCAGATATGATTTTGGGCCATTATGACTAACACCAGAATCCCAAAGGAAAATCAGAAGGCACAGTGCACCACTCACGGTAATTGCTGTGGCGACCACGGCAAATTGACAATTTCTTTAAGCATCTATCAATCCACTGTTACAATTAGCTCTTACACTAGACATTGACTCATGACAAAGAGATGGTATATAATCCTAATCTTCCTCTTCTGCTCTGGGAAGTAGGATACTTGGATGAAAATCAGAAGTTGACCTAGTGCATTTTGTGTAGGGGGAAGAAGCATCTGTAAGAAAGATAGAGATTAAAACAACCTCAGCTGGACTGTGATCAGTGCTGATTTCTTTTCTTTTCCATTAGATCTCCTAAGGCAAATGTATAAGTTTGTGCTTTGGGAAAATGAAATTAAGCAAGGTTTTATTGATTGGGAAATACTTCATCTGGGAAGAGCTTCAGAACATTGTGAGAGGCTGCATGTTGGCTGTGGTATTCAGTCTGCTGTGCAGGACTGTATCAGGGATTGTTGATTTTTTTGGTCTGTGTTTGGCCCATCCACATGCGAAAGTTTTGTTCTTTGCCTGCCAAGTTCGCTGATAAACTGGAGCTTCGTCCTTGGAGAGAGAGTTTCTTGTATAAACTGTGTGGTGTTCTGTGATGGGCTCATTGTCTGCAGAGGACATTTGAAGGAGAAACTGAAGAGGAGAGAATGAAGTAAAGCCCCCAGACAAAAATAGATAAGACCCCTTGAGTGAAACACTGCAAGTGCCAGGGGAATCCCAAAGTTCTCCCGCATGTGCTGAAGGGGTGCACTCACATAATGGGGGGAGTGACTGAAGGCCTCTGGCTGGGCGGCGCTGCCACATCAGCCTAGGGAGACGTCACCGCCTAATTGGATAAAAAGCGTGGGTGGCTCATGCTCGGGGCTCTCAAGCTTCACGTGAAGGACAACGTTGCCTTTGTGGGGGTGCCCGCTATCTTGTGAGCCTGCTGACACTCCGAGGATGCAGCCTCTGCTATGGAGAATTCTGGTTATTCTGGGGTCAGTAAGACAACCTCGTAAAACACACCTGCATGAGTGGGGGTTTCACTGAGGGCTTAGTTCACTCCTCTCCTTTCCTGTCTCTTGAGTTCCTGTTTACTTGGCCACTTTTTGTAATAAATACTGGGTTTATTGTTGAGCTCTCAACAGTGTCTTGGTTTTCAACCTCAGCATCTTTCAAACTCACCCTGTTACAAGGACCTGTATGTGGGGACAAGATCTTTTATACTCCTTGTGTGTGGACACTGGCTGTGCATTCTGTCACACTGACAAGAGCTTGGGAGTTTCTGACGTGCTTAGGGCATTTCTCCAGTTCTCAAGTGACCCCTTATATGAGGCCATGTATGGACGTAGCAAGAAAAGAGGTTGCACAGCTTTTCTAGTATAAGATGGATGGACAATATAAAGTTAATGAAATCTGCTTCCATCTTTGTCTTCTTTGAAACTCAGTATCTGAAAGGATAACAACAACATTCTAATTTATGTTCCCTGATACTGTTTTGGGCTTTGATAATAAGAGTCAGTAATGACTTAGAAGTAGTCTTACCAGTCTGGAAGAAAGCTGCTGATTGGAATCTCAGGCCACAAAATACAGGTCTAATTGTATTTCTGTTGAGCATCTGGGCCCATGTTTGCTGTTCCATAAAAGTGTTGTTTGTGGCATGTCTTAGAAGGATTTGGAAATGGGGAGCTTTCCACCATGTGTTCCATTCATACAGTATTCCATTAAACCACATGCAAGTTTTTTTCAAAATTCACTTGAAATTCTTGTCATACAAAATAACCAGTTAACTACGTTTTTCCATTATGGAGATTTTATTTGGTAGATCCCAGAAGAGCCCTGCCTTTCTGTTTACACTAGACTAACCCCTTCAGTTGCTGTCTTTGCTGAACAACAAAGAGCACAGTATTTTTCACGCAAAAGCCCTTCAATTGGAGGCTGTGCTATCCACATCTGTAATCATCTCTGTCAACACTTGGACAACATTAAACCCAATACAATGGTGACCTATGCCACTTCATTTTAGACATAACTGTGGCAGCAGAAGTGGGGTTTTGTTAGTCCTTTCTCCTGCATTCTGAGCACATCAGCCCTCTCTTTCCATCAGTGCTTCAGCCTTGTGCACATTCACAAACTGGTTTGTGTGGAAGCACCCAGGAAGAGATTCCTGGAAAATGAGGGATAGGTTATAACCTGGACAGCACAGGTTAGTGCCTGGAACACCTTGTTATGTGCCCCATTCTTTCCCAGTTAGGTGTGGTGTGTTTGGTGTGAGTGGAATGGAAGGAGTTGTCCTGTTCCCATGTAGTTGTCAGTTCATGAGCACAGTTACCAAATATGCACAAACTGAGTCAACAGTGCTGACAAAGTCACCATTTGTCACAGTTTTGTAAGTAGGAAAGGAACTGGACCAGCTCAGGGTTCTTGCCTAGCCTGTAGATAGTGATAAGAGGGCAGTGGGCAGTGGGCAGTGGCTAAGGGTTAGGTTCACGCCCGCTCACAACCCAAAAAAGAAACACACGAGACGACAAGTGAACACCCAAAAAGCCAAGGCTGATCTGCTTTATTGAAAGAAAATGGTGGGTTTTCTAGGGTCAAGTAGGGAAGGATCTAGAAAGAGGGCGGTGATTGGGAGGAGCATGCAAATCCTCTTACAACAATTGGACTGGTGTATATGAATAAACATGGAGAGGTGTCAACAGGGAGTGAGCCAACAAAGGGAAAACATGATTGGTCAGTACCTCAAGGTAAACTGACCTATGAGACACTGTCTCTATGCCTTGCAGGCAAAGTCCATGAGGGAATAGAAAATGAAGGAGTCAACCTACAAATAGGTTTTAATATTAACATAGCTACCATGAACAGTCCTTAAACATTAGTGTGACCATTAGCAGTGGTGTTCCCAAGGCTAGTTTTCCATTCCTCAAAAGACACTTCTCCTTTTTCTCGATTCTTCCACATCTCAAATGCAGTTTCCATTTCTTCATAATCTGGCTCACCTCCAACAACCATTATTAAACTTCTCCTTTTCTGCCGACCTTGGAGATTGGTGACATGGACATTCTGTGTTCACAGAGGCATTCTGTAATGTATCACTTCCATAAACTGAACTAGAATTCATGCTTTTTGCATAAGGGCAATCCCAAGATACTCATATGAAACCCAGTTAGTAATTTAGGACTACCTAATTGTGTGTTTTATCTGTCTGAGTTACTGTGATTGTCCAATTTATTGTGTAACATAAAATATAATTTAATACTGATGCACCAAATGGCAGTCACGTGAATTTACACGAAACATGTAAGCTCTGAATAATTAGTGGCTTAGTGCAAGGCAAGTATCACAGTGGTATTTCTGAAGATGGAACAAATCTATTGCTTTCACATCATGCATTTCTAATATTCCTTTATGACATTCTCTTGAGAGAAAAAGCAGACTGTAGATCTGTATATGAAAGGAAATTCAATGCCAACACTAATATGGAAGCTTTTAAGAAGTGCTTAAGCTTTAAAGCTCTAAAGAAGCTATATTTTTAAATTATATTTTATGGTATTACCCTTTGTAATGTAAATTAAATTTTATTTTTAAATTATTTTGCCTGAAAAAAAGGAATATGCCCTTTGGTATTTGTCATATAGATGGGAATAGTAACAAAGCACATAACTGCTCCCTCTCTAAGTCTTGACATTACTGCCTTCTAGCTTGATCTGAACCCTAACTCGAGTCTATTTACCCTTTGGGTTTAGGACCAATTTTACTTCAGCTCCTTTATCTCTGTCCTTCCCTCTGTTTTTTGGGGGTTTGTGGTTTTTTTGTTTGGTTGGTTTTTTTTTTTTTTTTGGTTTTGTTTTGTTTTGTTTTGTTTCCTTTCTCCCCATTAAGATATATTTGAGTATCAAAAAATGGTTTGTTAAGCACAAACACAACTTCACTATTGCCATTTTAAAAATGTTGAGGAAAATTGTACATTCAGAAAGGTGGAGGGGCGATAATTTATTTTAGAAGAACTGTGTAATTCTCTTTTGACTGGCACCCTTCTCCATTTGTCTGCCTTTTCATTTCTCACCATGTCTACCCAAGAGTTGCTTCCATCAGTCTCTAAGCAACCATTTTCTCCTGGTGCTTTCCTCTAGAGAAATCTTTGCTCTTTTTTTAATGTTTCAGATTTTCATGGGTGACTTAGAAATGCTAATGTTATTATAGCATATAAACCAAGAATGTATGCAGCAATACAGCAAATATATTACTATAAATAAGAAGAAATATAAATTGTGTGGAAGATATATAAGAAGTATATATTTCGTAATTCATATACAGTATTATATATTGTATATGAATATTGCTGAAATCTAATTATTAATAGTGTTATTTTAACACCATACAAAAAATATGTCTTTTTCTATTCACCTAAGAGTTTGATTTAGCATGGACATCCTAACACGTTGTTGTCAAAAAAGTTAGTTTAGTTTTTGGGGCAAGTGTTTGTCTCTGGAGAGTCATTTCTTTATGGAAACTGTTGTCATGGTGGCTTAAGAGGGTTTCAACAAGAAAGGAGCAGCCTTAACACTTAGAAATTGTCCTTCATTCTGCACATATTCACTTCATATGTAAGGTTTTGTGGTTCTTCTATTGTTGTAACACTTTCTGCCTCACTATATTCTTATTGTTATTGCTTTTAGGAGAGTATTTCAGTACCTTTGAATGCTAGGAATCAATACATTGTTGTGAGAATTTCAAGGAAGCTCTGGGTAGGTTTCCTGCTGAATGTTTTTCACCAGAGCTGTGTTGTCTGATGCATTCCAACAGGGGAATTAAAAAGTGTTGTCAGCTGTGTCTAAACAGTGTCTGACTGTGGGAGAGGTGCCACTCTAAGAGCAGTGTTGTTCTGTTTGCAGAAAGCCACATTCTTGAGGATGTGAACAAATGTATCATTGCCCTGACGGAGCAGGATGCGGATGGCCTGGATCGTGCGGCAGGTGCCATCCGAGGCCGTGCTTCCAGGGTTGCTCACATTGTTTCGGGTGAAATGGACAATTATGAACCCGGAGTTTACACTGAGGGGGTGATGGCCAGTGTTCAGTATCTGACCAAGAATGGTAAGTCTGATATCTGAAGTTTTTACAGTGCTATAACCTTTCCTTTATATGCCATGTTTAAAGTGAATGCTGTGATTTTCTGATGTGCTGCACTCACAATTCACTCTGTGATCTCTACTCTCCTTTCAGCATCCTAGCGAATTACGGTGATGCCATTCAATTCATAACTAATTCTTAGATTTTTTTTTTTTTTAATTACATGGTTTACTTAAACTTATTTAAATTATGGAAGACTTTTACCGGAGTTCTCAATGCAAGTAACAATGTTTGGAGACTTGTAACTAACAAGGTAGCAGATTTCCACTTTGTTGCAGTGGCCTCACCACACCTGCTCTCAGCAGATGAAAGGCAAACTCATATAAAGAGAAGCAGGTGCATAATTTATGTCTACTTCCCCTTTAAAGACTATTGGACAGTGGTCAAATATCTCAAAATATCTTCAGTTCTGCTAAGCAAATCTGAAACTACCTAAAATGGTTAGTAGTCTCCAATTACTTTTTCATAATATTAAAAAAGAGGATATCCTATATTGGAAAATTCCTGTACTGGCCACAGGGGTGTAACTGCATCGTTCCATAGATGGTTCCTGTTAGTTACATAAGTGAATCTTTGGCCTTTCATAGTTTATACTTACTACTACTACTAAAAAGAAATTATCTGTGGAGCTCCCAGGACTTCCATGGTTTCAGTGGTTGGGCAGTTAAACTGCTCTTAAAAAATTTTCTGGCAAGTCTGTACATCCCTGGAATATAGAACTTGGCTTCATGAACTCAGAAATCTAAATCCTAGCTCTGTCAGTCTAAACAAATGTCTAGTACCTTACATTTGACTAAAATTTGTTTTATTTTACTTCCACAAAAGACAGAAATGTTGTTTGAGCTCTTTCTTAATAAGTTCAAATATGTCTGGGGCAGAACTGTCTTCATGGGAACAAGAGTAAAGTGACATTGCAGGGAAGGGGCTAAAGAAACAGAACAGTGAGAAGAGTTTGAAACAGACTTGCCTGGTTTGATCTTATTTGCTGATATTTTGATGAGAAAATCTGAACATTTTCATCCTTACATTAATTTTTCATGACTTCTGGAAGTGCTCTGACAACTACCAAGGGAAGCAATATAAGAAAGTATAGTTTAGATTATCTTGTAAAAGCTGAGCCCATCTTTCTTGAAACCAATAGTGTTTAAAGACATTAGGAGCAGACACTGAGTTCTGTTCTGTTGCCTTGCTTCAACAGTAATATATGTAGTGTACCTAAACCTGTCTGTCTATTTAAGACAGGGAGACATAAAATTGGTTTTGGTTGCAATGCTTGCCTGTGTCAAGGGACATCAAGCATGTGGCATCTCAAATGACTTTGCAGTCAAACCAAAGAATCCACTGCTTTATGTTATTCAATAGGAGCAGAAAAAACAAACATGTACCTTTCATTTTCACCTGTATTTATACGATCTGGAATGAACAGGCATCAAATAACATGAGGGCTTTTTGGTTTTGATGGCTTTATTTTATTGGTTGGCTGTAACTTTTTCAGCTGACAGGTAAAATGCAGGTAGGTTGCAGCCCTCAGATGTGACCTCAACCATTCTATCACAGCTGAATCTTTCATGTGCCAGCTGATTGCAAGGTGACACTTCACTAGGAGAGAGCTGTGCCATGACCTCCTCAGTAAGATTATAGAAGTAACCTGGGGCAGTGAAATGCATTCTTCATGCCTAATAAAAAGGTGAAGTGTTACTGAAGAGAAATTATTGCAGGCAGAATATAGAATTACTGAAAATAAAATTACAGACTAGTAGCATACATGGAAATAGCAGAGAAATAGAAACAAAAATGAAAGAGAGAGTGGGAGCAGAAATAGGAAGCATGCAAACTGGAGGTAACAGGAAAGAGAAAATATGCATAAAGAGGAGCAGTACATTTACTATGTGTTAAAACAAAGACGAAGGTTTAGTTGTAGAACATATGTTGAGGTAATTTATAAGAAAAGGAAGAGCTTTAATTTTCTGCATTGCAGTATGCAAGAAAAGAGCATAAGATCACTGAATCTGTGTCTTCAGCTGGACGACATCAGACACATCTGAGATAAAGTGAGCTATCCAACAGTAATATCATAATACAATGAGTATTTAAAGCTGGAACTTAATTTTTTAGTTGTGTAGTCCTGTTTACATACGAGCTGTTGACAGCCAAATGGATCTCTCCAGCATCATACAGTGGAGTGTCTGCTTTCTCAGGCTTATTTATGCTGTTCCTCCATTTTACCCCTTTCCTTTCCCTGAACAAGAAGACAGACCCCCAGCCAACTAACAACAGGGCTCTGTAAAAGCACTGTTTAAGGTGTGGAGTTGAGCTTTTAGAAGTTGGATAATACCAGAAGTGAAGTTGTCTTTGCAGCCTTCATTTTCTTTATTTTACACTCTGTGTTTTTGCGACATGCATTATTACACTGTGGTTGCGTGATCATATGCAGTTATGTTACAAAACAGCTGCTTTGCTCAGGTCACTGAATGGACCTGCTCTACACATATACTGGGTTAACATTTTTGAGGAGGAGGTGTCATGGGTTTGCCAACCAGCATCCCCTGGGGCTGAAAATGTTTTTTTTCCAGGTGAATTTCCAAAGCAAAGCCAATTAAAAGTCTTAGTAATGCCTCTGCCAATTATATATTTAAGAAAATGGAAGAGAAGCCTGTGGTGCAGAAGAAAATGGAAGAGCCAGTGTAGCAGCCAGCCCTGTTGGGCCCAGGTATGCGCCCCCCACTCTGGGCCAAGTCTGGCCCAGGTGAGGGGGGGCCAGGCCCCTTCTCTCCTGTAACGGAGTAGAGAAAAAAAACCACTTTAGAGAAGAACCTGGACAAGACATGCCGCAAAATGAATTCCAGGCAGAGATAGTGCAGCCTCCAAGGTCACAGCTGGCAGCTGGAGGAGAGAGAAGCCCAAAGGGGGGACTCCTTTTCCCCCTGTCTCTCTTTCTCTCCCTTCAGCAGAGAAGACTGAAAACTAAAAATCTCTGCCACCTGTGGAAGACTGCTGGGGAGTGGAGGCCCCCCTCTGCAGCTCATGAAGGAGCCCATGCCAAAGCAGAGGAGTGCGTGAAGAAGATATAACTCCATGGGAGGCCTAAGATGAAACAGAGCCCTGCTGGAGACCTGTGGCCCATGGAGAGAGAGACCTACGCTGGAGTGAGTCGGCCCGAGTAGGGTTTTTGCGATCCCAGTGAGAGATCCATTCTAGTGCAGCTGAATTTGTGACCCTGAAGGATAGCAGAGAATGGAAGAACTGTTACCTGAAGGTAGACTCAGGCTAGAGAGGCCCATAAAGGACTGTCTCTCAGGGGGAGGAACCTCACAGGAAACAGGGGTGGACTCAAAAACATTATCCCCTGTCACCCTCTGGTGAAGATCATGGTAAGACAAGTGTCCCCTTGCAGTCCATGGAGGACCACACAGGGCCTGGGTAACCCCCTGCCTCCGGTCTTAGCTCAGGAGGGGGTGAGCCCAGCCCTGAGGTCGACGCAGAAGAGAGAGAGAGAGAAAGAAACAGTTCCAGCTGCAATGAATCGGAGCTGTCATCCTAAAGATAATAGAAAGGAAACTTTCAAAGTGCTGCAAAATTATTTAAAAGACCTTTAGCTCTGGAAATGGAAAAGAGACTGCTTCTCCTCCTGAACTGATAAAAAGGGGGGAGGGGTATTTCTGTAAATACATAGCATTTCTGCCTAATTAGAATTGTTCTATATATAATTCTTTTGTTTTTATCTTGCTAGTAATAAATCCTAATATTATTCTCCCCATATCGGATCTCTTTTGTCTGCATAAACCTTCTCTCAACTCATAGCAATTGTGTGAGAAGAAATTAGCCCAAACTAAACCCATGACAGGAGGCTGGTGTTCACAGGGTCACTTTGGAGAGTAATGAGGCAGAAGACTGCAGGAAGAGAATATATGATCTCATGTTGAGGATAGTTATGGATGGAGTTGATGATCTTGGTCCATTTGAACCTAAATGATTCTCTGATTCTGCAGTTCATTTGCACTGCCCAGGTCTGTGCAGAGTTCCTGCATGGTACTGAGTTTGTTAGGCTACAGCTCGTTGTGGGGTGCAGGGGTGCTCCCCAGCTCCTGCTCTAAGTGAGCATCATGCTGACAGTGCCCGTGTTCTACAGCACAAAGTGACTGGGACATACTCTGTCCCCTCTCCGTCTCAGGTTTTGGTGGGGAGTGGGTAGGAAAGCATTCCAGCCAAGTCCTTGGTCTAAGCTTCTGTAAGTCAGCATTGACAGTCATGCCCTGGAAATGTTGCCCTAGGGTCTTGTCACAGGTAAGAGTCGAAGGCTGAGAAAAAATTTATTAAACAAGGCCTGCTACTGAGTCCCGAGGTGCAGAAAGGATCCCCTTGCTTTCTAAACCCCTTCTCAGAGAGGAATCGAGGTGCAGCTGAATCCAGTCTTAGCCTTGTATTATGTCAGTGGTTTAAATTCAAGGAATTACAGAGGTGTGATTTAACCACCTGTGTCCTGCAGGTTTAAACAATTAGCAAAATGACAATATTTATATAAAATGAATAGTTTATTATTACAAATGATCAGGCAAAAGATCTTAATCACAATTATCTTAATCACAATACAAAAGCTAAAACTACTAGTATAGTATAAGGTAGGATAGTGTACTATATAGAAACAAGTATAGAAACAATTTAAACTAGCAAAAGAGAAGATAATTATTAAGTAGAGATGTGATGTAACTCACCCATACCAACGTTCATGGGGAGATCTCTTTCAACCCTGAGGACTATCCTTGGAGAGCGTCTGTTGTGACAGTTGTGCAATATATAAAAGGATGCAGAAGTTTTTAATGTTGTTTAAGTGAACATACTTCCAAGATGGCTTTTGTAACTTGTGCAAACTCACCTTCTTCTTCCCAGGATTCTCAGTCTTTATCTCTACTTTGGAATGTCCTGAGAGATACCTGAAAGTCTCCCTATTGGTTTTTAACCCTTTG